GCCCTGGCATGCTGGCAAGGAGAGGAAGCGAGAAGGAGGCAGGAACCAGACGCGACTCCCCCGCCTTTATTCCACTCCCTGCTCGCCGCCCCTCCAGGAAGAAAGCTGTAAGCGATCCGATCGCTCGCTGCGGCCGCTGTGCCAGCATTAACCACTACGTCCTCGTTTTCCTTCCACCCGATTTTGCACGGAGCGCCCAGATGCCCGCGCGCCCCAGGCTGGGCAAGTCCTGGCGGGCTGCGCGGGCTCCCCTCCCCGGGGGTTCTCAGCGAATCACGTTGTTCCTGAGATTTCACGCTCCAGTGGCTCTAGCGTAACCGTATGCCCTAGCCCAAGTTAATACTTTCTTTTTTTTTTTTTCCTTTTAATACCAGGATTAATCCTTTAGGGAAAGGCAAATACTTCCGCCACGAACTGGCCTGGGGGTACACGTGTAAATCACTGTGCTCTCTCGATTCCCCCACCCGTCGCGGCCCCTTTGCACGTTGCAGGTTCAGGGCTCACACTGCGCCCTTGGGGTTCCTGGCGCGCGGGGAGCAGGGGCTTTGGCGAGGCCAGAGGCGGGCCCAACCCAAACGTTTGTTTTCATCTACTCGAGGCGGCTCTCGGGGGCCAGAGCCGGGTCCTGCTTACCGCCAGGCTGAGGAGTGTTACCAAAAAAGGCCTTTCTCTCGCTGGAGCGCTTGGCTGCGCGCGTTGCAGCGGGGGTGACGCGAGGTTCAGCCGGGGCCTCCTCGAAGGCCGAGCCAGTTGGCTTCTGCGATGCCAGGCCTGAGAGGGTGGCCCCCTCCCGTCCCACCTCTGCCACAAAACGGCAGGAGGCGGGAGAGAGACTGCGGGGAGCTTTCAGGCATGTGGGCACACTGCGACCTTCTCACCCCAAACACTGATGTGGCGCTCCGGCAAGGCCTGGTGGAGAGCTGACCTTTTGTCCCAGTTTAGAGCGGGGGTTCTCAGAGGATGCCAGCTCACATGGCAAGCTGGGGGAAGGGGGAAGGACGGACCGGAGGAAAAAACTTTGGGAAGACAGTGCAAGCGATTTTGCTTGCGCCTGGCTATGCCTGGCTCTGCTGGTCTACCAGACCCCACAGTCAGAATTCTGTCTTTCCACCTGGCGTCTTGGGTTAAGGCCCTCCTCGCTCAGTTTCTTCCCACCATGGATGTGGACGCAGCATTGTTGCCACCGGCTTCTCCTTCAGGGGAAAATCCATCTCCAAAACCCCGGTGTTCCTGCCTCCCACAGTCCCTGACACATCCCCAAGCAGGGTCATCTCAAACAAGCAGTTAAGATGAAATTTGTCACCATAAATGATGGTGATTCTTCGGGGGGAGGATGGGTGGGGGGTGGGAGGGCTTTCTGGAGAGCTATGCCTTTTAAAGGATCGAGACTATAATGGAAGTTTGTTTAAATGCACGTTTATTTCTAACTCAGTATGTCTGAAGACTACAGGCGTGTGTGTATATATATCTCCCTCAGTAACAGTGAAGACAGAGACAGACAAGGAGACGAAGACATATGTGTGCGCATACCAAACATAACACTATGACATAGAATCCAACTTGCTTTTTTGAGCAGCCTGGCTAGGGGGTTGTGGCTAAATTATTTCCTCTGTATTTTGGGTTTAATAAAGGGAAAGGCTGAATAAATATTAATGCAGAGAAACGGATGAATCAGCCAAGCCAAAACTAAGGAGCCTTGGGCTGATGGGGATGGTCCGCCATTTCCCGATGTTTTGACTCACTCCAGGTAGCTGCGGTGTGGGGAGGGCTGACGTCTGGGAGGGTGAGGCAATGCTCTTGGAGCAGCTCTCTGCCGGGAGCCAGGCGGCCAGGAAAAGTTTGTTATTGCTGCGGAGTGCACAGTGAGCTCACTGTTTTGCAAAACAGAAATCTGGCAGCTTTGAGATGAAAGAAGGGCTCCCTAGGGCTCGTCTTTTCCCTTTCTCTATTCTTAAAAAGTCCCCTTTCCTTCACACCTGGGGCTCCAAATGAGTGGGGGATGGGGTGCTGGGGCGTGTTAGATGGGGGTATAGGCTCTGAAAGTTGGGTCAAAATAAAAATCATTATTTCTGGTTGCTTCAGTTAAACTTTATTATAATTAGTAATGATCCTTACAGTTTATGCACTTTACAAAGTACTTTCAGTTGCTAACCAGCAACAGCACCAACACTATTGTCAATACTAATAATAACCAACACTTACTGCCGCCTTCCTTCGAGTCCAGCGCTGTGCTTTACATACCATATGGTGTATTTATGTTACAGTCTGTGGCAGTGGCAGACCCACAACTTCTATATATGGAAGAACTCAGTGGTACAATCTGTTTGGAAGGGGAGGCTGGGGTTTTTTAGGAAGGTATATTTGCATAGCACTTTTCATTAGATTATGTGCAACACGCAGTCCTGGTGGCGCAGTGGTTAAGAGCTCAGCAGCCAACCTTGGAAACCCTATAGGGGCAGTTCTACTCTGTCCTATAGAGTCACTAAGAGTCGGAATCAACTCGATGGCAATCGGTTTGGTTTTATATACAACATATAATGAGGGGGAGGCTGATGGAAATTTTTTAACACCCAAAACCACCTTTGGGAACCTAATGCTTGTCAGAGTTATCTCTCAAATCAGATTTACTGGGTGCAGATCCCAGGTCTGTCTCTAAGAGCTGTGTGACCTTGGGCCAGTTGGTTAACCTCTTTACTTACCTAGTCTGTAAAATGAAGGTAATAATAGAATCTACCTTGTAGAGTTACTGAGTGTTTTAATGGTGATGCAAGAAAACCACAGTGTCTGGCCCATAGCAAGTCTTAGTAAGAGTTACCTACTATTATATTACAAGAAACAAACTGAAACCTCAAACAACCTAATAAGTTGGGGGCTATGATTGTTCCCATTTTACAGATGGAAAATAAAGATTATGTGAGGTTAAGTAACTAGCCCAAGGTCACAAAGCCAGTAAGTGTGGGAGAGGAAATTCCTACCGGGTCTGCCAGAATTCCAGAACCTGAATCCCATTATATTGCTTTCCCTTCCCCAGCCTTCCCTAGGATTATCTCAATTTTCATGAAATAAAATGAAGCAGGCCTGATAATTTGAAAAATCAGTTGAAATACCCCAACTAGAGCTGCAACCAACATATCTGCCCTGCAATAAGCAATTACGATGAGCAGTAGTTTTTTAATAGAAAAGAAATCACGGCCTTTCCCAGCCTTTTGGGTCCATATGGTCTGAAATCACGGCACGTGAGAAAGTACTTTGAAAACTGCGCTATGCTCTACAAAGAGAGATCACTATTATTAAATGCTGCCCCCGCCTTCTTTGATCAAACCCAGAAAAACCTCTCACCTGTCTGGCCTCTCCAGCACCTCCCCCTCCCTGCCCCCAACGGCAGCTGTGCGCAGCCAGTAGACTTTTCCTTGAAGGTCTCCGGGTGCTCATAGCTTCTTTAGACGTTCAGCCAAAATTTTTACAGTGCGGCTGGAGCAGGGGAGAGCTCACCCTGAATGCATTTAGCTCCGTGGTTGAAGCTCGGGTTCCTACACCAGGGCACAAAAACAATTAAATCGAAAAGGCAGTTTCTGGAAAACAGCTAATTTTGCAGGTGTTTCGGCATCCGTGGTGGCAAAGAGTAATACGTCCATACCGGGAGAAATGGTTTCATCGCAGATGAAATGAGTAATTCCGTATATGAAATTAACAGCGAAAGTCCTGAAACAGGACATTTAAATTCCTTGCCTCAGGTGGGGAGGGGTGGGGTGGGGAGCGGGGGTCGGAAACGATGCTTGTGGCTCTTAAATGCGTTTTTACTTTGGAAAGCCGGGCGGTGATGAGAAAGGTCAGCGTCTGTTTAATTTCCACCCCCAGCCCTGGGCTTCCAGCTTTAGCTCGCAGGGCCTCAGCTGTTGTACTCACACGACGAGGGGGAAGGGAGGGCGGAGGCGCGGAGGGGCAGGCTAGGAGGAATCTGGGCAGCCAGCCGCGCATGCGCCTTTCCCGAGCAACAAGTGTGCTCCACAGAGGAAGTGTAAAGGGGGGGGCCACTGGTGCAGAGCATGGCGGTGACGTCAGCGCTCCGCCCGGGCGGCATCCCGCGCGGCCAAGCCGGGGACAGCGGGAGCCGCAGCCCGAGCGGGAGCGCCGCGACGCGCCTCCGGAACGTAGAGTAACAATCACAATCCCACATTCCGGGCGAGCGCGAGCGGGAAGGGATGCGACCCGGGCCGAGGCACCGCACGAGCGCCCTGCAGCCAATGTGAGCGCCGCCAGCCGCGCGGCCCGGGCGCCGGCCAGGCCTGGGGCGGCGGGAGCCTGCGTGCGTGCACTCCTCTCGTGCGTCCTGGAAGCAGTGGCCGCGGCGGGTCCCTACAGCCGTGCAAACCCAGCCGCCGCCAGCGGATCGGCCGACGCTGCGGAGGGGAGAAGCTCCTCTCTCGGCTGCCGCCACCCCCTCCCTCCCCCGGCCCACCGGGAAAGCAGCGGCTTCAGCAAGATTGGACACGGGCACCGGGTGGCACTGAGCCCTCTAGCCCTCGCCCCAGGGAGCCTGGCTGGGAGAGGACGCAGCTCGTAGGGGGTCCCCCAGGGCAAGAGAAAAGAGACAGCCCTTTTCGAGCTTCCACGCACCAACCGCTTCGGGGAGGGGGCCCCAGAGGCAACGGCGGCCGGACACCCTCGCCCCCTCCCCCCGGGCCGGAGCTTCCAGCCTGGGTCCCCGGCACCAGGAAGAAGGCGCTTGAGCTCCTCTCCCTAGCAAGACAGCCGCAGTAGGAGGTGGGGGCGAGGAGCGGGCTGAACCCGTTCGCCGGCCGGGAGGCTGAGCCCCCGCGGAGAGGCGCTGCGCCGGCGTTGGAGACTCGCGCTCCTTCCAGCCCCTGGGGCAGAACTTTCTCGTCCCCCTCCTCCCTCCCCCGCAGCCGGACTCCCTCCCCAACCGACCAGTCCTCCCGGAGGAGAAGGCGTTGCGGAGACTGCCCCGGCAGGGGCCTACCTTCCCCAGGGCTGGCATCATGTCGGCGGCGCAGGTGTCCTCGTCCCGGAGACAGTCTTGCTACCTGTGCGACCTGCCCCGCATGCCCTGGGCTATGATCTGGGACTTCTCGGAGCCCGTATGCCGCGGTTGCGTCAACTACGAGGGCGCTGATCGCATCGAGTTCGTGATCGAGACCGCGCGCCAACTAAAGCGGGCGCACGGCTGCTTCCAAGACGGCCGCTCCCCGGGGCCTCCGCCGCCCGTCGGGGTCAAGACGGTGGCCTTGTCGGCTAAGGAGGCGGCGGCGGCCGCCGCAGCAGCAGCGGCCGCGGCGCAGCAGCAGCAACAGCAGCAGCAACAACAGCAGCAGCAGCAACAGCTTAACCACGTCGACGGTTCCAGCAAGGCTGCGGTGCTGGCGGCCCCGTCCGGCCTGGAGCGCTATGGCCTGAGTGCAGCCGCCGCCGCCGCTGCCGCTGCCGCGGAACAGCGCAGCCGCTTCGAGTACCCACCACCGCCGGTGAGCCTGGGAAGCAGCAGCCACGCCGCGCGGCTGCCCAACGGCCTGGGGGGCCCCAACGGCTTCCCCAAGCCGACCCCGGAGGAGGGGCCCCCGGAGCTTAACCGCCAGAGTCCCAACTCGTCCTCGGCGGCGGTGGCTTCTCGCCGCGGGACGCACGGTGGGCTAGTGACGGGGCTGCCCAACCCGGGGGGTGGCGGAGGGCCCCAGCTCACCGTGCCCCCCAATTTGTTGCCGCAGACGCTGCTTAACGGACCTGCCAGTGCTGCTGTGCTGCCCCCACCGCCGCCCCACGGGCTGGGCAGCCGTGGGCCCCCGACGCCCGCGCCCCCAGGGGCTCCCGGGGGTCCTGCTTGCCTTGGGGGCGCCCCGGGCGTGTCGGCTGCGTCGTCTTCAGCGTCGTCTTCGACCTCGTCGTCGGTGGCCGAGGTGGGCGTGGGTGCCGGTGGCAAAAGGCCTGGCTCGGTGTCGAGCACGGACCAGGAGCGCGAGCTAAAGGAGAAGCAGCGCAACGCTGAGGCCCTGGCCGAGCTGAGCGAGAGCCTGCGCAACCGCGCGGAGGAGTGGGCCAACAAGCCCAAGATGGTCCGCGACACGCTGCTCACTTTGGCTGGCTGCACGCCTTACGAGGTGCGTTTCAAGAAGGACCACTCTCTGCTGGGCCGCGTCTTCGCCTTCGACGCCGTCTCTAAGCCCGGTATGGACTACGAGCTGAAGCTGTTCATTGAGTACCCCACGGGCTCGGGCAACGTGTACTCCAGCGCGTCTGGTGTGGCCAAGCAGATGTACCAGGACTGCATGAAGGACTTCGGCCGAGGACTCTCCTCTGGCTTCAAGTACCTGGAGTACGAGAAGAAGCACGGCTCCGGGGACTGGCGCTTGCTAGGGGACCTGCTGCCCGAAGCTGTGCGCTTCTTCAAGGAGGGCGTGCCCGGCGCCGACATGCTGCCCCAGCCCTACCTGGACGCCAGCTGCCCCATGCTGCCCACGGCGCTGGTGAGTCTAAGCCGCGCCCCCAGCGCACCGCCCGGAACCGGGGCCCTGCCGCCTGCTGCCCCCTCGGGCCGGGGCGCAGCCGCCAGCCTGCGCAAGAGGAAGGCGTCCCCCGAGCCTCCGGACTCGGCCGAGAGTGCTCTGAAGCTAGGCGAGGAGCAACAGAGGCAGCAGTGGATGGCAAACCAGAGCGAGGCGCTGAAGCTCACCATGTCGGCCGGGGGCTTTGCGGCGCCGGGGCACGCGGCCGGTGGGCCGCCCCCGCCTCTGGGACCCCATTCCAATCGGACCACCCCCCCAGAGTCAGCCCCCCAGAACGGCCCGTCACCCATGGCCGCCCTCATGTCGGTAGCAGACACTCTGGGCACGGCGCACTCGCCCAAGGATGGCACTTCCGTACACTCCACTACCGCGTCCGCGCGGCGCAACAGCAGCAGCCCGGTGTCACCGGCCTCCGTGCCCGGGCAGCGCCGCTTGGCATCACGTAACGGGGACCTGAATTTACAGGTGGCTCCCCCGCCGCCTAGCGCCCACCCGGGCATGGACCAAGTGCACCCCCAAAACATTCCGGATTCCCCCATGGCCAACAGCGGGCCCCTCTGCTGTACCATTTGTCACGAACGTTTGGAGGACACGCATTTCGTTCAGTGCCCATCCGTCCCCAGCCACAAATTCTGCTTCCCTTGCTCTAGAGAGAGTATCAAGGCCCAGGGGGCTACCGGCGAGGTGTACTGCCCCAGCGGAGAGAAATGCCCCCTAGTTGGGTCGAATGTACCTTGGGCTTTCATGCAGGGCGAAATCGCGACTATCTTAGCCGGGGATGTTAAAGTGAAAAAGGAGAGAGACCCTTGAACTACAGGACAGCCACCTCCTTTGCCCTAGACCAGCTCTTCTCCAGTCCAGAGGGCCCCTTCCCTATCCATCTCCAACCCTCCCTCCCCCACCCTCCCAGATGTAGAATTGTGAATATAACAAACTGCAAAAAGTTAGTCTTATGTATAGACATTATTTTCGTCGTATGTTTCTATATTTTGAAACAAAGGTATGTAACTTCTTCATTTGAAGGATAAGCTGGTTTGTGTTAAGCAGTATAATATTGGTTGGGTCATTTGCATCATACTCGTTAGCATTTATTTGGTGGCAGAGTGTTTGCCTAGGTACAGAATCAATAGCCCTTAGCAACGACTGCTGCTGGTGTGTATTTTTCTGAATGTTGTGCACTCTCTGAAAGGAAAAATCACATACACACAAAAGAAAAGGACTGTTTCTCCCCAAGGCCAGTGTTGCTGCCTAAAAAAAAAAAAAAAAGAAAAAAGAAAAAAAATGATGCTATAAAAATGGTGAAAGCTTCTTTCTAAGCAGCCCCAGTGTTGAGTATTTCGTTTTGTTTTGTTTTGTTTTGTTTTCTGTTTTGTTGGCAAAATGGTGAGGGGAGTGTTGGGGGGGGACAGGGTGTTTTTTGTTGAAAGTTTGTGAGGGAAATGTTTTGGTTTGTTTCTACTGATCTGAATGTGTTGGATCTTTCACGTGTTGTTTTGTTTTTGCTTTATTGATGCACGGATGCTTTTGAACAGTAGAGCGAAATGCTAGACATGGAGAATCTGCTCTGTTTGTCCTTTATACATTTCTGTAGTTAACAGAACACTGTAATGTGCCTTGGAGCTTAGTAACTTGTAATAAATTCAATTGATATTAATTCTGCCCTGAGTCAGCAAGTTTGTCTTTCTAGGACTAAGACCACAGAGCTCCAACAGAGGGGCACCCTCCCCGGCTCCAGCAGAGAGCACAAATGCCAGTGTCTTCAAAAGCCTTCTGAGGTGGCATCTGTAGAAGGCCCTGTGCTGTCTGACTGCCCTTCCCCCTCGGTATCAGGCTGTTCACATTCACCTCTTGGGGAAGGTGACAGTTGCTGACTAAGCGATTTCTGTTTACTCTTCAGCATCTCTCCC